AATACTGTAGGCCATCAGAAGGTCACCTCTAAGACGTCTATACTCTAATGGGTAAAGGTTAAGTGAATGGAGGCGCTCTTCATAAGGTTTGAATTTGAGTCCCCGAACTGACTTCATGGCTCACCGTTGGATACGCTCCAGAGTGTCCCTATCCTTTTGGAGTGAGGGAGTAAATACTATGTTTCCGTACTCTAAATGGAGACGGATGTAACTGTTTAAGATTATATGGAAAGTTTTTACGTCAAACTGGCCAAAAATGCGTTTCAATGTTACCAGTGCAAGGTATGCTCGGAAGTCATTTTTGTCACAGTCAGCGTAAGACTTTAAATCATGTGGCACCAGGACTCCTAAATCTTTTTCGACTCGGGATAATACTAGAGAGGAGCTTTCTAAGCTGTAACTATAGTCGGCGATATGTCGCAGATGGACTACTTTACACTTCGAAGTGTTAAAGGTAAGTCCATTATCGTCTGCCCAACTTTGAAGTCGAGCTAGATCCTCTTGAAGTGCTTGTATATCGTCTTGGTTGCGTATCTCTCTCCAAAGTTTCACGTCACCGGCAAAGATTAATAAGTCTGACGTTACCTGTTGAGGGAGATCATTTATATCAATCAAGAAGAGGAGAGGTGCTAGTACTGAGCCATGGGGGACTCCAATAGGACATTCCAAGGCCTATGATAAAATGAAGTTAACTCTGACTTTAAAATGTCCATTTTTCAGATATGAAGTGAGCCAATCAATTAGACGTGGTCTGATACCCAATCGTTTGAGCTTATTGATAAGGCATAAATGGTCAACCCTATCAAAAGCTTTTGAGAAATCAAGGTGAAGGATATCGACCTTCTCCTTGCAATCAGGGATGGTTGTCCATCTATCCACCGCAGTCAGCAGGTTGGTGATACAAGAGTAACCCTACCTGAAACCATGCTGTTAGGGTGAGAAGAAAATTAACGACAGTTAATAGTCATATACACCATCGCATATCAGGGACTTCGTGATTTTTGAAGGTATTGAGAGAAGAACCACTGGTCTGTAACTTGAAGGTTTGCTGCGTTGACCTCCTTTGAAAATTGGTGTGATGTGATACAGCTTCTAAATTTCCGGTAGTCGACCTAGCGAATGTAAGAACATCACTTTAAACGGTGTTGCAAGATTGAAGCTGCTTTCCTCAGTATAGCAGAATGAACCATATCTTCGCCAGGAGGAGTGTCGTTTCTTAGGTGCTGCAGTCTTCGGAACACCAAGTCAGCGCTCAGGTTCACTACGGAAGGTCCTGTGCAGTTGCAGATGAAGCTTTCGTCAGAAGAGTTGATGTGGGTCGGTTGAAATGTATTGTTCATCCAAAAGGTTAGCGGCATCGCTGTCGTTATTGGTTGGGAAATGAGGACCTAACAGTTGGGAAACTTCAGTTTTCGAAGAGAGGCAGCATGACGGAATAAGCCTTTCGGATTAGAGACGAATTTATCCATACTCTTTGTCTGGTACTGAAGCCTGTCTTCTCTTATAGCCTTCGTGTATATGTTCCTCATATGTTTGTATTGCCTGTATGCGGCGTTGCAATCAGTTCGTTCATATTCTGCCCAATAGTGCCTTTCGAGGCTCAGCAGACGAAGAGTGCGGTTCTTGATCACTGTAGGTTGTTTGTAGCTTTTAGGGACCGTTTGAGGATCTGACTGCTTTGTAGCACTTAAGAGCGTGTACAGTATGAAGTCCCAATGACCATCCACATCAAGTTTAGGGTGAACATCCCAATCCACATGTTTAAGATAGTCCTGTAAAGCTGACAGATTTAACAGTTTGAAATTCCAGCGCATGTTGTTGGTGGGATATCTTAGCACATTTTTGCTGTCAAAACTGAGGGCTATGACGGCGTTATCGCTTCTCCACAGGGGAGCCAGGATCGAGAGGTTGTCAATGATGAATTCTTTTTTTGTAACTGCCTAGTTGGGATAACCGAGCTTCAGTTGAGTTTTCACCTTCAATATACGTATGTTCCGCGAAATTGACTCTAAGGAGATTGAAGTCCTCTAGAATCCGAAAATGAGTGAATCCGAAACGAGTAGAGAGTGATAGTTCTTCCAGCATACGAATTTCATACTCGATGTCGGCAGTGGGCTTCCTATATATGACTCCGACTACTCACCTCGAAGTAGTAGACAACCTTACAGAGCATCATATGGATTCCTCAAGATTATTAAACTTGAGGTTATGAACTTGGTGTACCGTATGTATACGGTTACTCCACCCCCAAGTCCTGATTTTCTGTCGTTACGAAACAGACATCCCAGGTACTTTTAACTCCTGGTCCGAGAACTGAGAAGACATCCAAGCTTCAGATATTCCTATCAGATGAACCTTATTAGTATTGCTAAGTTCACGTAATTCATCCAGTTTGTTTGGTAGACTTGCGGCGTTTATATATAAGCAGTTTATGCTTTCAATTTGAAACGCGTGAATTTCTTCCTGTTTGCCTGTATGAACCTTATGTGAATGGACAGGTAGCCTACCTATATAAGGTTTGCCGAGTTGGTAAGCCCTGTCATTTACACGTTTTTTATTGTCAAGACAGTCCATAAGTGGAATGGTCATCTTCAGCTTACCTTAGTGCTTGATCCTGGCGTCATAAGGCCTACCCGGATGCATATGGATTCCAGTTGGCAAACAACGTCTATTGGTACGAAATGCTTCCAGAGTTGCAGCCGCCATATGGGAGGATGGGAAAGTTATCCTCATTAGCCGGCGTCTAGAATCACCGTCCTCCTTCGCTAGTCTTGTCACATGTTGAGTTAGTATGTTTTTGAGCCTCAAGGACTGTTTGATGAATTTTCATTTCGTAATATCAGAGTTTGCTTGACGAGAGTCCGTGTTTTCAGGTATTCCGTGCACAATTATATTTTTTCCGCGGAAAAACTCCTCGCGAGATTCTTTAGAGATGTTCCGGATGAGATTGCGCTCAGAATACGATATGTCGGGCAGTATTCTTACGTTCCCATCGGATTTCAGTAAATGACTAACTTGCAGGACATCCTCTAGGTCGGTAGCATTCCTAAGTGTTACACGGAGTAGCCTCGGGTGATATTGATGCTTAGATTCCTTTCCCCGAGTGAGCCGTATGACCATCAAATGCTCTATTCTGGGGAGTTCAAGTTTCTTGTTCAATTCACCCCAGAGCATCCTGTCATTTTTGTCGTGCAAACTGAGAGGAATTTCAGGGTCGTCTTTGAGGTTCATAATTATGAGAGAGTCATCACGAATCGTCATTGTTTTCCCAGGTTTTCCGGTGCGTTCCGGTTCAGCACCTTGTTGTTTGGAGGTCGAAGCACGTTTCTGAATCCTGGGCTCTTTGATGACCGGATGGGCGTTCTTGGGGGTAGACTGTGCGACCAAATCACCAGTTGGTTTCCGTACAGTACTTGGGATATTCGGCTTAGACTGTGACGCCCGGTTCTTTTTAGCTATATTGACGTGGGTCCAATCACCTACAGGGTTTTTGCGAACCACTTTTGCATTCAAGGACCATGAGCTGGGAGATAGGAATTTACTGAGGGAGTCTAAGTTGAATCCAAACTACGGTTTGGATAGAAGAATAGCCGTCCGGGTACGTTAGACACGCGCCTTTTCCCGTCGAAATCAAAACAAGTAATCGGGTAAATAGCGGTTCTATAATTCATCATAAATTTAAATGTAAATCGTTACCTAAACAAATATTACCACCCGGCTATTCAACCAATAATTGTTCAATCAATCAAATCTAAATTACAATAAATAAAGAAGTTGATAGAAGATGAGGGAAAATTACTAGTCAAAACAAATGAACGTTATTCTATCCTGACTGGATAGAACACACACAAAAGGAGGAGAAAATCAATATGGTTACCGCCAAGAACAAGTGTCAAGTAAAACAACACAGATGCAGTTCAGGAAGTAACACAAACTTAGTGAATGCGTAAGGAAAGCAAAAACTATAATAAAAAATACAAGTATTAACAATTCAAATGTAATCAAAAGACAACAGTGTACAACTAAGGTGATCAATAGGAACAAAGTACAAGTAATTACATGGAGGGATTTTCACCAACACACAAAACATTCAAAATGGATCTTACAGTCTATTACCGTGACGTAATGATGGTGTTGAGTTTCAACATGTCATCATTAGTGCCAGTGCATGCTCCATCGATTTTAGACCTGTTGACATCCCTATTCTTGTTACCGTTGCGCCCCTTTGTTTGTCTACCCGTTTGATGACTGTCATTTTCAAAGTTTGCTGACAACTTACTCTGCAGACCTGTCATTAGGACAATGATGTTACTTAGCAAGACTACAGCATCCGTGCTGCACGTAACACATTCCCACTTATGATCCGACTTGCCGAGTCTGTTGTAAGCAGCTGCTGTGAAATCTGTGCACGATTCGTGGAACCAACCTTTGCAGTTGTCGTACTGCACGTCAGATGTAACAGCGAAACGGCATCCAGGTCATTTACATGAATTGTTCGTGGTTATATTGACATAAACTGTGTTATAAATGCTAGTTAAGGCCCGAGATCACAAAAATACACTGAAAAGCACACTAAAAAAGGAGCAAAATTGGATAAAAACGGATGAGATAAAGTGAACTAATTTTACATGAAAAACTGAAGAAAAAAAAACAGTAAATTGGGGAAAACCACCGTTAACTAATAAATTTAGTGAAACTCGAAAAAAGTTATCTACCAAACGTATAGCTCAGAATAGATTCTTTTGATCAGAAATGGTACTTTTGTTGCTTAAGAACACCGCAAATGTTTGATAAATGCAAACACGTTAGGACTAAACTTTCTGTTCAAAAAGTAGACTCATTGCATAGAAATTGAATGAATAACGGAATATTACAAATCTTATTAGCTGAGTGTGTGTCTCACGTGAAAAACCGATTTAGACTCACTAATCACTGCATTTTGTTGTACCAAATCAATAGTCATAAAACTGAAAGTATTATTCAAATTTAACCGGTCAAAAAGTGCAATTGGTTTTCGTATCCACTAAATCACTAAAGTAATTGTTGGAAGTTGTTAACACATGTTTCCTGAAAGTAATAACCCAAATGTAGAAAATGCGCTTTCTTCCAGGTTTATTTTTAATATTTGTCATGTATTTCTTTAGTTGGGAAAATTACATACGTCATTATACTTAAGCGAAGTAGTATTTTTGTTTTTTCTTTACTGATCTTAAACTCACTGAACACTTGAAGTTAGAAAGACATTCTTGTTTTATATATGCTTTATTTTTGAAAGGAATGAGTTCAAAATGTCGTAGTGTTCCACACCTGTAAATTTTTTTATTCACATGTCTTAATGAATCTCAAGTCACTTTCGAATTACTCTTCCATAACATATAGTTAGGAACACTTCCCAGGTTTTCAGAACTTAGGTTTTTTTCGTAGCACCTTAGTTGGACTTTGAAATGTTCTACTTAACAGCCCCTTCAAGGTTAACATACGTAATTCTCCTATATCATGCTCTAGTAAATCCTATTCTCAGTCCTTTCATATGAACAAATGTGGGATACTGGCATAAAACACCGTTCAAAGACATTAATTGTTGGTACGTGGTGTGAAGAGGGGTCTATGATTCCTGAACCGTCTATAAAAGCCCATGTTGATTTCGATAATATTTGTTTTTGCACAGTCTTCAGTTCGTTATACTTTATTTAAAGACTTAGTGCTTCCGAGAACCAAATAGCTGGTGATTAGTCGGTGAACAAGTCATATTTCGTGCTTAACCGTAATTGCTGTGTATCATCTCTAAACGTATATCACTTTATGTGTTCGAAAACAATACAGAACCGCAGGTTAGTGATCATGATATATGAATGCAATAATGCCAAACTTCATATATAGGATACCAACAAACAAAACGTTTCTACTGACGCACCATGAAGATGCTGTCAAACCCTTAACACCTGAGGATGTACAGTTCTTGATGGTATCTGGTGTCTGTTTAAAAAATATGTAGTTGTAGACCTTTAAACTAAATCACTTCGCTGTATTACGTTGTAGCTGTGTTATACCTTAACTTTGTTTAAATGTTTGAAATCCCACATTCTAGTTTTTTGGCCTAGGCTCATAAAATCTCTAAATATATTTTCGCTAAAAATATGTCAGTTAAATGCAAAAAGTGTCTGTTACACAAAATACCTGTGACAGAGTTTGTCTGACCGCAAGTTTCAGAATATATTTCATTCATATGTGATCTTATGTGATGTCGTTCAATATTTGCACAGTATGTGTGCCATTACCTTCGCAAGAAGTCCCGTTATACATTTGAAGTCTTTGTGTTACAGAGAATTCTGTTTTATGCGACACTAATATCAGTTAAACCAACGGGTCTTTTCTCAAGACGTAATGGGAGATTTAGCATGACATCCTTTTTCCAGACACTCAATGTGCGTACACTGACTCAAAAGGATCGGATTAAATATTTATTTTTCAAAAGTAAGATCTTTGAAGTTTACTGCCATGCGAAATTTGTTACGGAAAATTTTATTGGTCATTAATTTCATATGTCTGATCCATACTTTCTGAATACACTAATATTTAAAATAAAGATATTAGTTGAAATTATTTTATAAACAGATTTACGTACGTTTTGAGTAAAGCATTTCTTGGTGGGTTGTTTTATATATTATTTTGATTGTTTTACATGCAACATCTTTACGGAAAGCAACATTGTTATTATTCTTGCACTGATAACCATCGTTTATACAATTTATATATGATACAACTAATTGTATGCACTCTCACTGTTGATCATAGCTGTTATGTAGTATTTAAACATTTTCGAGTACCATTTGTCAGACATTAAATTTTTAGTACTAATTTTGTAGAGAAAATATTAGCCAGTTTATTTTCCTTGAAAAACAATTTAATTAGGAGCCGTATATAGAAATGCAAGTTGAATAGTCCAATAAAGCAAAATTTTGTTGCAAGAACTTTTTCTCCGTGGTTCAAACGTACTATTGAGTCTAAAATCATCGTCTGGAACATGTTTTCAAATAACCGAATTCTTAGTTTTGGTTAGAAAACTCCAAAGACTTGTATGAAAATAATCTGCCAGAACATGTTTAAAAGTCGCAAATAATTACTTGATAGCTCTGTATTTTTTATTTATCTAAAACAGGAACTTCAAGAGTTTTCTCGAATACTTCAAATAATTATTATCTTTAAAAACATTTATAGTTTTAAAACTAATATTTTCAACCAAAGATATAAAGTCAGTTGTTGCTATAAGTCGCAAATGGATTAAAAGCCACAATTTATTTAAAACATTGAAGTTTATATCAGTGAAAAGTGAAAACTTAGAACTAGTAGCTTCTTGACACAGAATAATTTAATATTAAATGAAGATTTATGCCATTTATTTTCCTTTATGAGACTGTTCAAGCGATTTAGTTCTCAGACAAAGAACATTTCACATAGAAGTCAATAAACGATTTTTAATACTAGATGTTTATAACTGTGGTATTCGGTTTCATAAAGTACGAGTTCTTAGGTGCACAAATTTCTTCGTCGACTGATCAAATGTGAAATTTCGTAACAATATTTTTACAATACGTTCAGAATTGAATAGAATTGAAAATCAAACAGTCTACTGGTATGGAATCTGATGATAGCTGCGAAATAGCCTCGGTAATTACAAGAGCAGATACCAAGTCCAATTCATCTGATAATCCGACCATTGATTGGAGTAATCATCAAAATCTAAGGAAAGAAAACTATTCAAGTTGTGATGATTGCCTATCAAATGTAGAAGTATTATCAGATAGTTGTTTGAACAAACGATTTCACACTTTTTCACTAAAGCTAAGAGGTGAGTTACTCTGTTCGGATTTCAATCGTTTTACTTAGAGCAAGGAAAGAAGATTAAACTCCTGGAACAAGAGCGAATCGGCTTTTTGGAACAAATAGCCAATCTCTGTTCATCTTTAGAAAAAAAACAACAAGAGTTGGTTGATGTTTTGAAACTTTCGGAAGAAAAAGCAAAATACCACGCTCATTACATGACTGAGGTTTGTTTGTAATTCCCTATCGATTTTTGTCATGTTTGCATTGTTGTCGCATATAGTGTATGTAAGTAGATTAACTGTCTACACAGGCGTAGTTGTTTTATAATTATCTGATTGTTCCACCATGGATACTCATAGTGCTTGATCACGATAAAATCACTCATTAATTCATTGTATTACAATGGTATCCATATTTTTAATTGGTCTCTATTCTTAGCCAAATTTGCATATGACACAGGTGAATCATCACCTGTTTCCATTTAAAACTTCAGGAAGCATGCGTATGGGTCCATTTAAAATGAGATGAAAAAATGAGTTTTGAGTTAAGCAAATTTTGGATTTTAGGTTATGAGGCACTACCATTTATTTCACTTTATGAGGCGTTATACCACCCCATGAGGTATATAATCTGAGTATGGATACAAAATTGTTACCGAGAAGTTGACTATACACAGAGAAAAGCCCAAATATGCGTCAGTTAATGGATAAGGTGTATACCAAAATCATTGTTTTCAAGATGGTCTAATAATGTATGACGTGCCGAGTTTTTTCGTCACTGTAAGGTAAGAGGTTAGAAAGGCGCTGGTAAACTGAGCAAACTAAGTTTCGATTTTAGTTTCTAGAACGTATCCTGTTATTATATATCAGCACATCGAAAGATTATATGCTTCAGCTAAAAATTAATTAATTGGTTAACTTATGAAATTAAATTAAAATTGAGTTCTTATCAACTCTTATTCTGTGATTTCTTTTGCACTCTTGGAATAAAATAAACAGGTTAGTAGTCTACTAGCCGAACTGAAAACACTATTTTTAGAGCATTCAAACTGTTTTAATCCAGGAAATCAGGCTTTAATAGATCAGGGTGAATTTGGGAGTAAGAATGAAGTTTCAAATAGTACCGATACTGAAAACGTACAATTGAGTTCCACGATTGGTTCAGTGAAAGGCGCTTGCTGTTCAGAATCTCAGCAAGATCATCGTGGCCGCGCTCTAATTAATGAACTATCTGCTACAGTAAGTGCTGTCAAAAATATGAACAGCAAAAAATTGATAAAACACGACCCTTCTTCACAAACTCCACATATATTTGGTAAGCATTCTTTTATAATTTCTTATAAATCTCGTGTTTATTTTTCTTTTATGTATTATAAGAGTTGGTAAACTAAAATGTAATTAATTCGAATTACTGAAAGTGACTTTTAGTGTATAATTTACATTTTGTGGATAAACGAAGTGTAAACTATTTGAATATTCAAAAAGCACTCTTAAAGAAGATGTGAATCAATAAAAGGGAAATAACTAACTCTTTACATAATGGCCAACAGTGACAATAGAATAAAGAGCTACTGTGTCCTTTCTACTGAAGTTAAATTTGGGCTATGTTATCAAGAACATCTGTTAATTGAATTTCATACACCACATGCTCCTCCAAAAAGTCCTTAATTGCCTTCGTGACCATAACCAACCGGTACAGTATCTTGAACTGATCACTTTTAACATTCTACTATATCTGAGTAAAGTGAACAGTCGGACCTTTTATAAAGGTTGAAATCGGGTATAGAGTGAAAAAACTTCGAATTTATTTTCATGATCTGTCATTATATCTATAACCATTAGAATTTACTCATGACACTAGTCGAACATTTTAACCGTTGTTGATTAAAAATAGTTATGTCTTTTCATATACACTGACGGGTTGATGATAACAATGTAAAGTAAATATTGTAGTTACGTTAGGCGCAATAATTCTGCATATGAAAGTCTAGGATACAGAATATAGTGGAACAGAGTCTAAGATAGTTTCACATTCTTTGATGTCTCCATCAAAACGTTGTAGTGTTAAGAGATGATTATAGCATCACGGCATGTCTTTTGTACCAAGATTTCTCTTTGGCATCCATGCAAAATAAAAAAGAGTACCGTGGGAAACTGTAACTTTTTAAAGAAATAGGTTTTAGAAGCTGATGATATCTTGAGTAGAGGCTTGCAAGTGAAATAATGTAAGCTAAAAGTAGGTACATTGTAAAATCTCTTAAAGCAACAGCTTTGACATATTTTCTATTATCTCTCAAAATTACTTATAACGTAAACAGATCTTATTATAAAACTAAAATAAACAGTTTAACTGAATTTGTTTGTTTTGTTGATCTCCTGTTCATTTATAATCTACATATATTTGCATGTCTTGACTCTAAGTTGGGATGTCTCCATTTATTAGTGGTCATTAATTCGATGTGTGTCTTACTCCTCGTAGAAACGTTTCCCATAAGCAATGTCTTCACTGCACAATTTGTTTACTTAAAATATATGCAAACTGCTCATTAGTTAGTGCAATATATTATTTCAAAGAATGTTTAGGTTGAAACAATTAATTTGCTCTTTAGACTATTATTCCTGCATTGTATATATATATATATATATATATATATATATATATATTTGGAGAGAGAGAAGGAAATCTATGACTGAGTTACATTACTTTCAGGGTAGTATACGTTTGAATGTTGTCTTCTAAACAAAGACTAGTGAGAAATCCGAAATTAACTATCACCTCACTATAAAATTAATTGTAGTCCGGAGTTTAGTTGGAGTCTCATTTTCCATCAGTTTTCAGTTTTACTTGTTTTAATTTATGATAGTTTGAGTTGTCTGGTAGATTCAAGTGAAGGAAACTTGAATATAATGTTCAGCGAAACCGAAACATCTTAAGAAATCGGTGGCTGATTTTTTGTTCAAATTAATGTATATTTTAATGCCTCTACTATAGCATTTCAGAATTTGTGAACTGTTTAAAATCAACTGTGTAGCCCTTCCTAGGTGTAGAAATTGCTGTGTTAACAAAAGTTACTTTATGCAGTCAATTGGTTCAACACATAGTTCTATTTAAATCATTTGTAAAGGTTTTTAACTTAACTATCATAAAACCACAATTCTGTGGTTTCAAGAAGATATTCTCATAGTTTTAAGATATTTTCCTTCACTTCTTACGGTTTCTCTTTGTAAAGAGACTTTTTTCTCAATAATGAGTTTCATTCGAAGAATTATGAACCTGTTTAAATAATAATATTCCTAATGAATGTACACTTTTACGTTCTACATTTACTTTACTTAAGCCTATTGTATTTACAATTAAACATCAATCTTAGTTTTTCCCGTCAGTAATTAATCTATATACAATATCGTTTTTCGTATTCACTCCTAGCATAAAATGTAAATGAATAACATTTAGCGCCAATAACTTGGTCGTTTAACCTTCAAAAATACTTATAATAGGGTTAAAAATCTTTGTATTACTCTGTTTTTCATTTTCTTTAGTATCTTTGTTTATATAGACAATATTAAAAATTTTATGAGATTCGCGCACGAGACCGAAGGTCCTGGTATTGAGTCCCTCGTGTGTAGTCGTGGATGAGCACTATTGAGGGGTCACATACTAAAACGAAACGGCCGTTTAGCGCTTTCAGTTTTCAATGAAGGTCTAACATTGATCCATTCATGATATCAATCTAAACTCAGCAATCTCCACAACATTATACTTGTAATTCTAAAGCTACCAGCTGGACCTTTTCCTAAATTATTTTTATTGATAAAATTTAGTTTTACCTAGGCTAGATGTTGTAGTTAAACCAGTTTCTTCACAGTCGCTTCTTATAAGCGTATACAAATTCTGATTAAGCAAAGATTTTTTTAAAATTCAGGGTTTGTGGTATTCATCATGTAGATGATATTTTTAAGATATAAGTAAATATATACTGTATACATATATACATTTGTGGCTTGAAATATTGTTTTTAGGAGTAGGTAGCCCTGTAGCGGTTTGCGTCTAGCCAGAAGGTACTTTGTGTATTAGGGGAGGATGCAAAGTATTATGAGTGAGAAGGGCTGTGAAGGAGAATAAAAGAAAAAAATAAGTCGAAGGCCCAGATGGTGTACACAATACACTTACATTTACTATAGAAAGCAATAGATGACAGTGAGCAGTAACACAATCCTCATAATATGACAAAATTGGAATGGAAACTGGAAGCAGATAGTTTAACACACAACGGTCCTTGTAGTTTAAAAGTGGAGGATATTTTTCAAATGCTTATTCGTATGATGTGTCTAGTTAAGTTCTGTTTTAATTATTTAAATAATTTAAACAAATTAAATTACTGATTGATTTTTTTTAGCTTCATATAGGTTTTTCTGCTTTACATCTAAAAAAAATTAATTGAATTTATAATCACCAGGATATAGAGACGAAGAAATTATAAAACTATTTTGTGTGAACTTTTCCTGTGATACATAATGTGACAGTTTGTGAAAAAAATTGTTCGTGACATGTTATCAAGCTCATTCAGATGGAATTTAGTAAAAGGTAGTGATTGAGTGTGTTTAGTGAATATATACTGGTGTAATGATATACCGCAAGACAGAAACGCTTTGACTTATTTGTCAGTTTTATTGATTTCTTTTTCGAATGATTATTTATTATCATTTTAAGTTTGTTTATTAAGTTTTTATATTCTGAATACACTTAAGTGCTGACTGGAAACAGAATAAAGACATGAAATTTCTATCAGAATACGAATTTCTGTGATATATATGGCATTAAAGATTAATTAGGTTATCCAATCATTGGTTTTTAAACTTTGGATGTGCTATGATACTGGTATTAGACCATTCCTACCTTTGTTTCATCGATCACATAGACTTAGTGGTAGTCATTGTTATTTCCAACAACTTTGTATCAAAATAGATTATATTTTTTGAAATCGGAATCGACTGGAGAAGGAAATTAGTTTCCTTTATGTCAATAAATGATGTATTAGGCAAATATAAATTTTGTGTGATGAAATGCAGGTAGTAATTTGTCACTCCTCAGATTCACCTTGATTTTTATTACCTCAGCATCTGATTTTGTTCACTGTTAGTTACTGAATGCTTTTACACAAATAACTTTGTGTATACCAATAAACTGATTAATTTGTAACAAAAGGAATAGTGAATTACAGAAAATGCTTCATTATATCTCTAAACCAAAGTGAATTAACCATTGATCTTGTAAATTATTTTACAGCATTTGTTCGAGTGAACCTCTACAGTCTTTTGAAAGCTGCATATATATATATATATGTTCAGAATATTCATAATTCATGCAAGATATATAGAGTAGCTTGTAGAGTGATAAGTCAAGTTTATTTACTGTATGCTGTCTTACTATGATTTCTTATTTAATTTTTGCGTTTCAAAGGCAGTTTATTTTTTAGTGAATGGTAATATTTTTGTATAAATATATTTTGAAATGTTTGAAAATCACCATCACATTGAAACACATATATAAGCAAAGAATATTCTTTTTATTAAATTTGATGAATACTTGTTCAATCGGACAAAAATCTATTGATAACTACATTCGTCCTTCATATTTCTTTAATTCTAAAGTTTTTACTCTCGATTTTTATTACAACTATATCACTTTACTTTCCTCAAGATTATTCTCATCATATTTTATTGTGCTCTTAATATAATGAACAACTATTATAGAATCTTACGTTCTCTTAAGTTCTATCAATTAACTTTCACTATTTTTATTTTTATTAAATAATTGTGGATAACACATTATTATTTCAAAAAAATTCTCATTTCTGTATATTTTTTTCTACATTTAATATTTCCTATAGGTTCTGTAACTTATGTTAAATTTGTTTTTCCAAAACAAACTGTTGTCACTCTAGTATATTTTGTCTAAGTCTTTAAGTAAAGAAATTCAACCTCATACAGTTGACAGCTTCTCATATGAAAATGTTTCCGTATTAGATACGTGATGTCATCATAGTCACAGTGCAGAAATTATTCTTTCATGAATTATATATATATATATAGTGTAAAGTTGCCCGTAGTTGTCTTTTTCGTGAAACATTTACATACTGAATTGATTGAAGTAAACATTTCATATAAAACTGAAAAACTTAATCAATTTTTACTCTAGCTCAGTATGTAAATTTTAAATAATGTTTTTATTATTTTTTTTTGTTGTTGTTCAGATGACAAAAGTTGGTAACTAGGGAAAATATTTTTTTTGGGAAATATTCACCAAACTTAATT